AGCAAACTATACCGCGACCAGCACTGCCTGATACCTCTAATACATCAGAGCACAGAGCCATCTCACTGCACACTTTATATTGTTTGACTAAAGCAATGGTGTTACATGTGCACAGCACTGCCAGTCCAGCCCTCCAGGGCCCCTCTCCATAGACATGTTGAACTCCCTCTCTCTCTTTCTCTCTCTCTGTCGCTCTCGCTTTCTGCCTCTCTGGGTCTCTCTCTAATGCTCTCTCCTCTTCTCTTAACGCTTTCTAATTCTCTCTCAGTCTTTCTCTCACTCTGGTCTCTTTCTCTGCAACTCTTTTGACTCTCTAACTCTCTCTCTACACACGTCTGTTGTTCTGTCGAGAACAGACAGGTTCTGTGAAGCAAAGGTTAGTCACGGGATAATCCCCCGCCCTTCATTCCCACTCTGTAAGTGACCTTACCTGTGTCTGGCCCTCATGCCGCCTCGAGAGATACGTTCAACTCTCACGCTTCCTGTCACTCTCTGTGTCTTCCTCTGCCTCTCTCTCTTCCTGTCCATCACTCTTTCTCTGTCGCTCTCGCTTTCTGTCTTCTGTATCTCTCTCTGTCTCTCTCTAACTCTCCTCATGTCTCTCTCTCACTCCTTCTCCGTCTATCTCACTCTATCTGTCTCTCCATCTCTCTCTCTCTCGCTCCCCCCACCCCCCTCTCTCTCTCTCTCTCTGTCCAGCTCTCTCTTTCTCTCTCTCTTTCCGTCTCTCTCTTTCTCTCCGTAACTAACTCTCTCTTTCTGTCTCTCTCTCTCTCTCTCTTTCTGTCTCTCTCTCTCTCTTTCCGTCTCCATCGCTCGCTCTTCTATTTCTTTCGACCTCTCTGATCTCCAGTTCTCTCTCCCCGTCTCCCTCTCTTTCTAACTCTTTTTCTCTCTCTCAGGAACAGACAAGTTATGTGAAACGAAGGTAAAATCTCAGTGAGACACAGGACACCCCGCCCCCTTTCCCCAATACTGCGAGGCCCTTTAGTCCAGAAAGGTGATTTGTTTATAAAACAGTTAAAAAGTATATTTTGAGAGAGCTCCTCCATTCTCAGTTTTTTTTTTAAACATTTATTAGACGTTTTCAAAACTATAATTTAGATTAAGTGCGATATTCTGGGAAGTAAAATTGTGGATTCTAAGATAAAAATGCGTAAGAGACAGAAATGGGCACATTATCCGCACAGTGACACCTTATCTCCAGGCAGTGATATACCTATACTGTTTCCCCCAAACAGCCACAGAGTTGGGAGCTGGTTTTCTTACACACTCACTCTCACATCCACTCACTCGCACACACAAAGTCGCATAGTCACTCTTACTCAGACACACACCCACTCATACTCTCACGCACTCATCTCTCTCACTCACTCACATACTTTACACACATTGTCTCACACATTTACTAACTCACATTCACCCACTGACACTCACACATACTCTCTCACACTCACTCACACCCACAGGCTTATGAAATGTAACATCCCCCCAAACGCAGTGAGAGAGACAGAATTAGCTAACGCTTTCAAAAGAGATATTTGGACTAATAATTTTGCAAAATGATTTTTTAAAATAAAATCAAACTGCGAGGATTATTGCTACTATTATTGTTATTGTAATTCAAAGATTATTATTATTATTACAGTAGAATACATTAGAATATACAGCACAGAAACGGGGCATTCGGCCCAACTGGTCTATGCCGGTGTTTATGTCCACAGGAGCCTCCTCCTGCCCTTCCTCAACTAAGCCATCAAGCATAACCTTCTAATAATGGCAATAATAATTAAATTCAAGTTGTTGCCATTATTTTTGTTATTACTATTGTTGTTATTAGAGAGTTTATAACTTAACCAGCAAACACTTGCATGTTTTAAGACATTAAAAGGATAGGGAACAGTGCAAGTTAACGCAGAAACAAAAAGAATTCCTGAGCGAAAGACATCAGCAGAAGGTCACAACCCCATGTAAATGGCTGTGTAAATGTAAATTATATCGGAGAGCAGAAACTCCTCTGGTCTCAGCCCATGTCAAACGCATTTTGTATTCAAACGCTAACATTGGCACACAAATTGTGGGGGAGAAAAATCCTTACATGGAAAGCGGAATCCAACTGATAAAACTTCCCAATTAGAGGATTTCACAAAATAACTAAAATATTAAAACGAAAAAATAAATAAGGTACCCCAGACTAGGACCAGGTGAAATTTACAGCCTCTGATGTTTGGGGCTGTAAAAAAGGCGGGTAAAAAATATACATTATTTTCATCATTATTATTTTCACCACTTTCACTCAACAAATAAGGCATTTTAAAGTTTGTTTTTAACAACCCTTTTGACTTCGCTTTCTATTCTTTGAATTATCTCAATGATGTGATAAGGCACTGTGTCAAATGCAAGGATTATTCCACTATTATTATAATTACACCGGTCAGAATCAGCGCCAAGCCAGGGTGGGTGAGAGGTGAGGGCTGGTCACATCTCTCATCCTGACTGATAGTTTATGGTTCTCTTTTTGGACCTTTCTTCTCTGGGAGTTTGGTTCAGTACAGGATGACCAGACTATTCACTGCACCAGGTCACAGGCAGTGTGTGTCCATATCTGTGCGTGTGTACGTGTGAAAGTTTAGCTAGAAGTTACACATCATTAGCTGGTTAGACTCCAGCAGTTACCCCCAATGCACACTCTGGGGTCCCCAAGCCTTGGCTCCAACGTGTACCTAATACTCTTCGGAATTAGGTAAACAGGATGTGTCCCTCCAGAGAGAGTCCACATTCCATTCCAGCAATCTGTCTCTGGGATTTCCATGTGTAGGTGGGATGCATGGAAATCTCAGTTTGGTTTGGATCCTCTTAAACACAGTGATGGGTTTCCACATGTGTCAGACACCCAACTGACCAAAACAACATTACACAGGCGTCTAAGATTTCTTCAAACCTCTTTATATCAGGAATAGGTTAAGAATTGGGTTCAGGGAAACCAGCTAGGAATTCACATTCAACTTTCCCGCTGAAGTCTTTCGCTCCCCGTTGTCTCTGTGTCTCTGTCTCTCTCTGTTTCCCTCACTGTGTCTCTGTGTCTCTCTGTGTGTCTCTCTCTATCTCTCTGTGTGTCTCTCTCTATCTCTCTGTGTTTGTGGGTCTCTCTCTATTAGCCCTCGCACCCTTTCCTGTTTTTTGTGTAAAGAACGATCAAAAAGCGAATAGACGGTGACACTATCCGGTGGAGTATTCTTGGATGTGTTAAGAGATGGCTTGAGAGCGTTATATAATATATACTGAATATATACACATATCTCCTGTCATGTTGTCACTGGTGAAATTCAGTAGCGTTAACACAAACACACATAGACCCCACACCCACATACACACACGGAGCCCTCCCCCCACATACACACAGCCAGACATGTAGATACAACCAGACACACGCACACACACACAACCCAACACATGCATATACACAATTCAGCACAAACACACGCACACACACACAACCCACCACATGCATATACACAATTCAGCACACGCACACAACCCACCACATGCATATACACAATTCCGCACACGCACACACACACAACCCAACACATGCATATACACAATTCAGCACACGCACACACACACACAGCACAGCTCACAGTACTCCAGCGCCTTGGCTAAGATTTCCCGCGCATTGATTCCTCACTAAAACCTCCAACCGCTTCTTGGGGTACCCGCACCCCCAGTCTACAGCTCATCCCATACAGAGAGAGTTTGTACATCCCATACAGAGAGAGTTTGTACATCCCATACAGAGAGAGTTTGTACATGGCCTTCTGATCGTCATCTGTTAATTACTGATCACATGCACTGAAAAACTCAGTCTCTCACACACAAAAACAATCCATACAACTCTCTCTGTATCTCTCTCTGTATCTCTCCATCCATCTGCTTTGTGTTTGCCAATCAGTGTTGGAGTGATGGGGACAGGAAATTACGTTGTGGCAGTGAGTTAATTGGAGGGCTGTGGCTGTCCCCCACTTCACCTCCTCCTCCCCCCCCCACTTCACTTCCTCCCCCCACCCCTCGCCGGTGAGCGCCACCTGGAGCAGGTCACTGCTCCCCGGTGAGCGGAAGGGACAGCGTTTACCGTTCACCGGGAAGACCTCGTAGACTGTGAAGCCTTATGTGTTGGGAAGGATGATGACAGGAGATTTCGTAACGGTGTAGAGGACTTGTGTACCGCCTCTGTCCCCACCCCCATCTCTCTCTCTCTTTCTCTCTCTCTCACACTCTCTCTCTCTCTCTCTCTCTTGTGTGTGTGAGACGGTTTGCTCAGCCCCAAAACCGGCCAAACCCGCACCAGACGCCGGAGATGGAGAGGCCTTGGGCGGGTTACACAAGGTGACAATTGGCGTCTCTTCCCTCCCGGCTCCATCCATCCTCCATCCAACCTTCCCCCGGACTTTGGGCAAACTTGCGGCGTCGCTGGATCCTGAACAGGGAAGAGAGAGGGAAAGGGAGAAAGAAAGGAAAGGAAGGAAGAGGGAGAGAGTGAGAGAGAAAGAGAGGGGGGGAGAGAAAGAGGGAGGGAGAGAAAGAGGGAGAGAAAGGGGGAAAGAGAGAGAAGGGGGTCAGACCCCGAGCAGGTTGGGCAGATACGCGGTGTGAGCATTGATGCGGGTCCCGGGAGCGCGGTGTGAGTTCCCCGGGAGTTCAGCACAGCGGACAGCGCCGACCTCAGCCCCCAACACCCCAACCTCAACCCCCAACCCCAGCCCCAGCCGCAAACCGTAACCCGCAGCCCCAACTCCTAACCCCCAATCCCAGCCCTGCACACCGAACTGCAACCAATGTGCTTTTGTTGCTTATCTAACGGAATTAATTCGATTGCAAAATAGAGGGATTTTATATCAAATTATACCCCCCCCCCCCACGCACACACACACAAAAGCTACCCCCACCCCCACCCCCGAACAACACGATACTGGGAGTTTGGAGGCTTCAGTTGAGCTCAGATGTTTGACCAAGCGACCAGCCTGGGAGCCGGGGGGAGCGAGGGGAGAGAGCGGGGAGCGCCGGACAAAGGCGGGGAGAGCCGACCTCCAGCCCGGGCCCCGGGGAGGGGGGTCAGAGACAGCCTGGGGCCCTGCGCCCCCACCCCCACACCCACACCCACTCCAATCCCGTTCCCAACCAAAACCCACACCCCGTCCGAGGAAGGAAGCGACGCCAAACTATCCCAGGGAGACCCTGACTACTGCAGGCGCATTCTGGTCAGAGGTGAGGATGTGTGTGTATACATCATTGGTGTATGTGTGTGTATATATTATTTATGTGCATATTATTTGTGTGTGAATGTATATTTGTATTATTTGTGTGTGTGTATATATGTACATTTGTGTTTGTGTGTGTTCGTTTCTGTGTGTTTACTTATTTACTTATTTATACATTTACTTCTACGTGTGTATTATTTCTGTGCGTATTTGTTGTATTTATTATGTGCATGAGTTGGGGTGGGGGGGAGGGGGAGAAAAAAGTTTTGAGGTTGGAGATTATTTCAGGCAGAGAAGTTCTCAGTGAGTGTGAGAGGGAATGTGTGAGAGAGAATGTGTGTGTGTGAGAGAGAGAGAGTGTGTGGCGAGTGTCTGTATATGTGTGTGTATATATATATCCGTGTATGGGAGGGTGTGTGTATATATATATGTATGTGTGTGTAACTACATCTATGTGAGTGAGTTTTTGAGTGAGTGTGTGTGTGTATATATATATATATATATAATGTTTGTGTGAGTGAGTATCTGTGAGTGTGTTTGAGTGGGATCCGGCCCGGCCTGGCCCTACGTGACGTTAGGAAGATTTTGCTTTGAAAATCCGTATTTTACATTTTCTGCTCCGAATTGGCGAGTTTCACAGCCAGGGCAGAGGCTGAATTGTTTCCCGTTGTTTGTCTTTACAAACCGGATATTTCCGCGGACACGCACTCACATACACACACACATATCTGGTAGATATGTGACACGATGCTCGCAATAACAGTGACTTTGTCACAGTTAATTCAAAGGCAGAAATCGAATCGGGAAAGCGTCTGATTGTAATTAACAAAATAGAGGTGGGGGAGGGGGAGGGGGAGGGAGGGAGAGAAAGAGGCAATACAGAGAAAGAGGGAGAGAGGCAATGCAGAGAAAGAGGGAGAGAGGCAATGCAGAGAAAGAGGGAGAGACACAATACGGAAAGGGAGAGGCAATACAGAGAAAGAGAGAGGCAATACAGAGAAAGAGAGAGGCAATACAGAGAAAGAGAGAGGCAATACAGAGAAAGAGAGAGGCAATACAGAGAAAGAGAGAGGCAATACAGAGAAAGAGAGAGGCAATACAGAAAGGGAGAGAGAGAGATGCAATACAAAGAGAGAGAAAGCCATTTCTCTCAGCAATAACCCGCTACAAACCGGGGTTTGTGTTTAGGAAGTTGTGTTCTCTCTCTCTCTCGCACATGGTGTGAGTTTGTGTGCACTATTTTACCGAATTTCAATCTGTTTGGGTTATATTTTTCGATGTGAAAGTGACCTCAGAGGCCAGCGAGAGGCGGCTTCAATTCCCTTTCTCATTCCCCCCAGCTCTCCCAGCAAACCCCCAAACCCGCTCTAGTTTTATAAATGCGCTTTATTATTTTTATAATATCATTTCTTGTCCCACAATTTAAGGTCAAACAGCGGCTTTGGCCCAGCGCGGCGTGGGCTCTGTGTGCGACTGAATATAATTAATGTTTACTATTTATTAATGTGCTAAATTAACCTTATAATCCATCCCTCCCTCGTATCTGTGGGCCTGAGATTCATATAACATTTACATTTGTCTGTGGGTAAAATAGCGAATTGCGGTTATAGCACGAATTGGGAGGCGCTGGACATAACATGCTATAGTTTCTGGTGACATCTCTGAGTTGAGGGGAATTTTATAGCTTGACTTTCACACAAATTATTAGTTAATATCATTTTTTAAGTCGCTAATAAAGCGCTCGATTCGCAAAATGCACTGTAACGTTTTAACGGAGAAAATCTTCCAGCTTTTCACTTAGAAAACATCGTATTGATTGATTTATTAGCCTAATATTCTGCTGTATTTTATTTTTAAATTTAAACGCAAATCTATTATACATAAATAAATAATATATTTACATTTAAATTTAAAAATAAAAATAAAACATGTATCTAAATAAGGCGACACCGCGTTTGTTTTCGCTGTGTCAGGGCCGAGAATGCGAGATTCGCAATTGATGTGATTCGCACACGGCAGGGAAGGCGTTGGGAGAAGTCTGTGGTCGCTCGTTTTCGGGGAAGACGGAGAGATAGGAATATGTCTTCGTAAAAATAAACCGTGTGTAAAAAAAAAAAATCCAATAAAATAAAATTCAATATTTTCACCCACAAAAGACACTGTCAATTAACTCACTTTACAGTGCATTCTGTGGAGCGCTTTGAGACGTCTCGAAGACGTGATGAGGCGCTATAATCAAATGCAATGATTGCTATTGTTATATATTTTATATTAAAATCTATACTACCTATTTAGAGTGTGATCTCTCTCTCTTTCACTCTCCCCAGACAGTGTAGATATATTTCGATGTAATTACAATCCTAGCAAACAGCAAATATAACAGGAATCACCCTTTAAAAGCTGTCTATCTGAGAGGAATTAATATAAATTCACAGATATTTACTGCTGTGGATTTTACGATGACCAAAGCGTTTAATTTTACATTTCCTCAACTTTCTAACAGTGTAAATTTCGTATTACCTCAAACAAAATAGCCTCAAATAATGCGTTTTCATTTAGCGCCTTAACCCCGCCTTTTGGGAATATTCAATTGTCAAAAATATTACAATCAAAATATAAAAGTATATTATGTGAAGCTTATTTTGATGAAGTGAAAAGCTCATCCCTTCATAAAACGTATTTGTATGAAGATCTAAGGCGCTATATCAAATGCAATGATGATGATTTATTATTATCAAAATGCACTATACATTGTACATATATCTGTATATTAGAGGGTTTGGGATAGCGGTGTTCAGTGTGTGTATGGGCTAATTTATATACTGTTTTCACATCCACACACTCGAAGAAAAAACTCACTATTATGATTGTAATGGTACTATTATTACAAAAAAAATTAAAATGATCATTTGCCTTTTTAAATAACGTTATTTCCTTCCCAACCAAATATTAGCTGTGTTTTGCAATGGGGATATTTCCCGAGGTTTGACAAAACCACATTGACACTTATTTACTCCAGTTATTTTACCACAGTAAATTGCTGTAAAATGGGATGTGAATTGGTGTGAGTTAGCAGAGCGGTTTTGTGTCGAGATTTCACAGTTTCCGTTGAAATATAAACCTCCCGTTAAAATGGGTATTTGGGTGACAAACGCACAGTCAGAAAGTAGTCCAAGCTGCAGACATTGGGTTGTTGCTGTGTGGTTTTGGTGATCTTAAATTTAGTTGTAAAATCGCAAACCTAGTTTGAATTTGGTGCTTTTTTACACACGAAATTTCTATATCGAGAGAGAGAGGGAAGGGGAGAGGGAGAGAAAGATAGCGAGAAAGACAGCGAGAAACAGGGAGAGAGATGGAGGGTAGAGGGAGAGAAAGACAGAGAGAAAGAGGGAGAGAGACGGAGGAGAGAAAGATTGAGAGAAAGCGAGAGAGAGAGAGAGAGAGAGAGAGAGAGAAAGCAAGAAAGAAAAAAAGAGAAAGGAGAGAGAGAGAAAGAAAAGGAAATAGATTTAATTTCAAAATTGCCACCAGACTAACAAGTATGTTTTGAATGCGGACCAATTATTAATACTCCTAATATTTTACTGCAATTGTACGTGAATATTGTAAATATATTACAAAATATTTCGCCCACAAAATACAGTCACTAACTACACTTTACAGTATATTCTGTGAAGCGTTTTGAGACATCTTAACGACGTATATATCAAATCCAAGGATTATTCTTAAATCTATATTTATTAACGTTATATGTTTATTTTCACTCGATCTAAAATGTTCACAGATCAAGTGGGCTTATATTTTATATACAATTATATGTATATCTTTTATATATATATATATTTTATATATATAAATGATACACACAGCGAGAGAGACGGACTTAATGGTTCGACTGAAACAATAACGCGGCGTTTCTACCGCAATAAATCTTTGGGAAAAGAAATATAAATTAATATTATAAATATAAAGTAGATTCTGAGATTACAATATGGGCCTGAAATATCACAGGCGAATAATTTAAAAATTATAGATTTTTTTCAGAGCCAAACTGTGCTATTTTAACGAGAAATCTCGCTCCCTTATTTCTGAAACGGTTACATCCCTTCTCTCTCCTATCTCCCTCTCTCTCTATCTTTCCCTCTCTCTCTCTATCTCTCCTCCTTTTTCTTCCCCTCTTCTCTCTCTCTCTCTCCCTCTTTTCTCTCTCTCTCTCTCTCTCCCCCCTCTTCCCTCTCTCCTACTCTTTCTCTCCCCCTCTTTCAATCCCCCTCTCTCTTCTTTCTCTCCCCCCCGCTTCACTCCCCCCTTCTCTCTCCCCCTTCTCTCTCCCCCCTTCACTCCCCCCCCTCTCTCTCCCCCCTCTCTTCTCTCTCCCCCCCTTCTCTCTCCCCCCTCTCTTCTCTCTCCCCCCTATCTTCTCTCCCCCCCTCTCTTCTCTCTCCCCCCTCTCTTCTCTCTCCCCTCTCTTCTCTCTCCCCCTTCTCTCTCCCCCCTTCACTCCCCCCCTCTCTCTCCCCCCTCTCTTCTCTCTCACCCCTCTCTTCTGTCTCCCCCCCCTCTCTCCTCTTTCTCCCTCTCTTCTCTCTCCCCCCTCTCTTCTCTCTCACCCCTTCTTCTCTCCCCCCCTCTTCTCTCTCACCCCCTTCTCTTCTCTCTCCCCCTCTCTTCTCTCTCCCCCCCTCTCTTTCTCCCCCCCTCTCTTCTTTCTCCCCCCTCTCTTCTCTCTCCCCCCCCTCTCTCTCTCCCCCCCTCCTTCTCTCTCCCCCTCTCTTCTTTCTCACCCCTTCCTTTCTCTCTCCCCCTCTCTTCTCTCTCCCCCCTCTCTTCTCTCTCCCCCCTCTCTTCTCTCTCCCCCTCTCTTCTCTCTCCCCCCCCTCTCTTCTCTCTCCCCCCTCTCTTCTCTCTCACCCCTCTCTTCTCTCTCACCCCTCTCTTCTCTCTCCCCCCCTCTTCTTTCTCCCCCCTCTCTTCTCTCTCCCCCCTCTCTTCTCTCTACCCCCTCTC